TGCTTTATAAGTACTAATAAACAGCCAATATGCTAGTAATATGCATGCTGACAAACAACTAGTTAATAGTGAGAATTGGTCCTTAAAATAAAGTGTTACAGACGTAATATATTTCTTGAGAACATACATGCCGTTCTGTAAAACTACAGCATCACATGATTTGCATTTGCAGCTAAAAAAGTTAAGGTTAGGGTTAATCTTATGGGTAGGACTCTAAATAAACACAGTGTATAAACATCCTGGGTTAAGATTTATCAAATAAGAAGAGTTACCATTCGGCCACCCACACAACATTGTTTTCATGTTTTCGGTGTCTCTATGTTACCATTATAAGTGAAGTGAAGTGAAGCGAAGTGAAGTGACATGTGGCCAAGTATGGTGACCCATACTCGGAATTAGTGCTCTGCATTTACCCATCCAAAGTGCACACACACAGCAGTGAACACACACAAACCGTGAACACACACCCGGAGCAGTGGGCAGCCATTTATGCTGCGGCGCCCGGGGAGCAGTTGGGGGTTCGGTGCCTTGCTCAAGGGCACCTCAGTCGTGGTATTGAAGGTGGGAGAGAGCGCTGTACATTCACTCCCCCCACCTACAATTCCTGCCGGTACGAGACTCGAACCCACAACCTTTGGGTTATGAGTCCGACTCTCTAACCATTAGGCCACGACTTCCCCTTATATTAAGACTTATATTAATCTAATAAGATATGATACTATTTACATTGGGGTACAAATTAAGATGCACATTTTAAACGATATGTGAAATAATGTAATTACAGATGTAATTACATGTTATATTAATTGTAATTACAGTCTAATAACATGTATGTACACAATACATACATTGTAATACATTTTAAGCTAAGTATACAAAAGGTAAACCCACCTAATAATTTATGTATTTGTAAAATATATGTGCATATAATACACTTCTTGACTATATATAACAAATATTGTCTAGACAATGCCCCAGTAATACATTATTATGCATCTGTTCTCACATGCACACATTTAAGGGTTGAAATTTGTCATTTCATTATCAAGTTGCTCTTTGAGAAATAGTAACCATTCGGACACACCTAGAAGAGTTATCATGTGCTGCCCCCTATTGGAGATCTCAAGTAAGTGCAAACCCAAACACTAGTGCACTTCAGACTGTCAACAGTGCAGTGAAACAAGAACAGTGTTCATACGCTTTTTCAGTGGCAGACAAAAAGATGTGATCTATTTGTCATTTGTTCAGGATGCACATGAAGCATGCTGAGGGTCAGAGTGTGAGGAAACCTTTTATGATCTATAAAAGGCCGAAGCAGATCACAAACAGCCAAAAGATCATTGCCTGTCCTTTAGCTTCTGTGTTCTGCCTATTTACTAACAACTGCAGTGCTTATGGCTTTATAACTGGAATAAACATGTGTTTGTGTGTCTCCCTAATCAGGGAGCCCATGATTATTTGACAGATTTCATAGATTTAACTACTATTTGATTGGCTTATTATGTTTAATGTAATAGAAAATAACTTGTAAAATACAATATAAATTTTTCATTGGAATATCATCCAATTTGCGTGTCTCATTCAAACACTGTTACCATATAATGGGCATATACTAGGTTACATTAGCGCTTAAAAATCATCTATTGACAAAAATATTATGCTGATCATTACTATTCAAAGTTTTGAAATAGTAATAATAATTTAAAAAAATCTTATTTCATGCTCAGATGGCACTATTTCTGTCACTTCTGAGGTCAGACGGATGCACATGAAGCATGCTGAGGGTCAGAGTGTGAGGAAACCTTTTATGATCTATAAAAGGCCGAAGCAGATCACAAACAGCCAAAAGATCATTGCCTGTCCTTTAGCTTCTGTGTTCTGCCTATTTACTAACAACTGCAGTGCTTATGGCTTTATAACTGGAATAAACATGTGTTTGTGTGTCTCCCTAATCAGGGAGCCCATGGTTATTTGACAGATTTCATAGATTTAACTACTATTTGATTGGCTTATTATGTTTAATGTAATAGAAAATAACTTGTAAAATACAATATACATTTTTCATTGGAATATCATCCAATTTGCGTGTCTCATTCAACACTGTTACCATATAATGGGCATATACTAGGTTACATTATCGCTTAAAAATCATCTATTGACAAAAATATTATGCTGATCATTACTATTCAAAGTTTTGAAATAGTAATAATAATTAAAAAAATCTTATTTCATGCTCAGATGGCACTATTTCTGTCACTTCTGAGGTCAGATGTCAGTGGATGTTCATTTGAACAATAAAGAAAGAAAGCAAGAAAGTGTGTGTGGATAGTGTAAGTTAAAGGGAATAGAAACCTGAAAGAAGTTGGATTGCATCTTTGTTAGTAAATCTGATTTCTTTGTAGCAGCCTGAGCCACACATCTGAGGGCTCTCTGACCCTCCCATAGACAGCAAGGTAACTACCACATTCAAGGTCCAGAAAAGTACCAAGATGATCGTCAAAGTATTCCGTGTGACATCAGTGGTTCAACTGTAAAGTTACGAAGCTATGAGAATACTTTTTTGCACAAAGAAAACAAAAATAACGACTTTATTCCACATTTTCGTCTCTACACTTGTGGACGCGCGTTCACGACAGTATCCTGACGCGAGTGTGTGGCGGCGCTGACCTAGATCCATCATCACGTCATTACGCCGGATCTGGGTCAGCGTCCCCACACGCTCGCGTCATGGTACGTCATGCGTCATGAACGTGCGTCCAAATTGATTAGAGACGAAAATGTGTAATACTGTTTTCTTTGTGCAAAAAAGTATCCTCGTAGCTTCGTAACTTTACAGTTGAACCACTGATGTCACACGGACTACTTTGTCGATCATCTTGGTACTTTTCTGGACCTTGAATGTGGTAGTTACCTTGCTGTCTATGGGAGGGTCAGAGAGCCCTCTTATTTCATCAAAAATATCTTAAATTGTGTTCCGAAGATGAACGTAGGTCTTACGGGTTTCGAACAACACGAGGGTGAGTAATTAATGACAGAATTTTAATTTTTTGGGTGAACTAACCCTTTAACTATCAACATGATCACATTTTTTAACAGATTGAAGAATCTGAATACTTTTCGGGGGCGCTGTATTTGAGAATCGTGATTCATGAATACTATCAAAACCATGATGACTTCATATGCCAGGTTTCCTTGATATTCCATTGAGAAAGAGAGAGGTGAAAGCACTGAAAGACTGTTTGAGGTGAAAAAACAAAACAGTTTGAGGAGCTTCCAGAAAGACACAAAAGCAAACAGTCACAGCAGTATAAAGCCAAACAGTTGTTGCATAATAAGCAAACACTTGACAAAGGGACCTCGGCGCCCGTTGTGTCCCTGGCATCCCTCAGCATCCCACCAACCACGAGATCTCACCATGGAAACGGTTGCTATGGTGACGCTGACAGTGGCTTTTTGGTCTTTGAGAGTCACGATCTAGTCTAAACCGTATTTGTGCGTCCTGTGATTCAGCACTGCTGGGCCGCTGCTGTTATCTGGCTTTAGCGGCCACTCGTAGAACATTCACTACACATTAAAACACGATTTAATCACTTGACTTGAGAATGAACAGCCGTGCAGGACTCTTCAACGCTCCTCTGGCATGACAATGAGTCATGAATGAGTGTGTTTGAAGAGCTGCGGAGATAAACACACACACTCACCTCAAACTTCTGCCGCAGCTCCAGGTTAATGTCATTCTCCTCTGGGATGGGCACGTTGTAGTACTCACCCTCCTCCTGGTTTAACATCTTATACCTGTCAAATGAGAGAATATCAGACACAATTAAAAACTTCAAATAGGTTTATCATGGTACAGTCTAAAAAGTATGGTACAGGTATAGTAGCATATTACCATGGCCCTCTTTGTTTTCAAAAAGTACATGCCTGCATTTACAGCATGGCTGTAAAAAACAGCTCTGCAAGGCACAAACCAATGCAAAGTGCATTAAAATGCTTGACTGCAGCCCCTGAATGAATGACTGTCATTGTGCGCTGTCATCTGTTGTTTTATGGCTTTAGAAACAGAGATTGGTTAATATGACATTATAAAGCTGAGGTCTCTGTCTCTCTATGGCTATGTTGTGTGTGAATCTGCTACTGTCTCTGGGTTCCTGTGAACTTTCTTTTGATGTGAAGGGTCTCTCAGAGGACCCCTCATTAAATCAGCACATACACTGCTGAAACTAGACACTGAGTGACTTTTTTAATGATCGGCATCAGTGCTATTAAGGTAATATTTGGAGCAAATCAGATCAGGACTTAATTTTTCCAATTCAAATAGTATAGAAACTCTTCTATGCCATATTTCATAGTACTAAGCAGTTACAAATCTACTGTACTATTACTGTTTAATGTTTTGACACATATATTACACTATAACAATATATTATGGCTCTAAAATCTGATCGGATGGGCTTAAAAGTTATTTTAAAATAGTCTGCCTACTGTGTATTAATGCACAAATCATTAGTTACATTGTCTGGAGTTCATAAATGACCCAAAGTTAACCTAATGAATTGTGGTGGTGCTCATAAGTTTACACACACCTTGAAAAAAGTTAATAATTAAAAAAATAAAAATATGGATTATAAAAATGCCATTTTATTTTGGTATTGCGCCGGAATAAGCTATTTCATATAATTGTCACAAATCCGGTCCATGGACTTTCATCCAATGAACACGAGAGGTCGCTCTCTCACCATATTGACACTCACTCCCCATAGACTGTCACGCATCACGCTGGACTACATCTTCCATGCTCCACTGCACTGATTGCACACTCACCTGCATCCAATAACTCACACTATATAACACTCACTCTGATGCTGCTCTAGTTGCCGAGTATTGTAGCGTTTATCTCTCTCCAAGCGATAGCTACTCTACGGAGCCTGTCTAGTTTTCAGTTCCTAGTCATAATCTCGTCTGGCTGGTTTACTCGTGTTTTGACTCTTGCCTGTATTGACCATGTCATTGAATAAAGCCTTGCAAGTGGATCCACTCCCGTCACCCCGTTACAGAGACGTGAGGCGAGCCGATCCACTTCCATCCACTTGTTTGTCCCCAGCAGTTAAACTGTACACTGTTTACAGGAAAATCCTCCAGGTCCTACACATTCTTTGGTTTTACAACTTATTCTGCATCTCTGAACCTTTTCCAACAGTGACTGTATGAGAAAATTGCAAACATTCATTGATGCTGAAGAAGGCAACATGATGCATTAAGAGAAGGGTGTATTTTTGAGTTTTATTTAAAGATCTTGGTAACAATATAGATTAGGGAACACCTTTTCACTATTAACTATTATTAAGAGTTTTCCATGAATAAACTCCTAGTTACTGCTTATAGATAGTATACTGTATATTAAAAAAATAAATTTTTATGATCCCTCTTATTTTCTTTAAATAATTAACATTATGGAAATTCTTCAAGGTGTATGTAAACTTACGACCTCACCTGCATATGGGAATTATGATTTTTATTAATTATTTTGTAACTATTGATTGAACATTAGTACATTTTACCATATTAAAATGACTATAAAGCATGTCCTCTTATGGTTTATTGCTTGAATAGGAGCTGTAGTGTGAAATTGCCAATATAACTCAAAATACAGAAATAGCATGATAGATTTATACTGTAATATCAGCCACTGACTGTTTTACAGCCACAACATTTATTATACAACCTTATTTCAACTATTTTACAGTGTAAAGTATGTAAGAAAAACAGTAGTTGTTGTGTTTGTGCTGTCAGCGTATTTGACTCACCAGCCACATACAGTAGCTTTGATCAGCTCAGACACACCAAAGGACATGGAGCCCATGAAGTCATTGCGGGTGGTTCTGTCCCAATCCCACACCTCCACGGACAGACGGCGCTCCTTATCCATTGGCTTTAACTTACTGCACACAGACACGCATGAGAAAACAAATCTACAATGCCGTCAGAGTGTGTGTTTAATGCTGACAGACTCACAAGATAAAGGACTCGTTCCAGGTGGGGTTGAGCGAGGAGCGGATGGTCCGGGTCTTCTGTTTGGTCTCATTCTTGGGGTCTGGGATGAGTTTGAGCTTCACATACGGGTCTGACAGACCATTGGGGTCCATGGGAATCAGATTTCTAGCCTCACCCACTGATTAATAAGAAAGAAATCAAAACGTGAACTAAAGCATGAAAAACATAACCAGCAAAAACATCAAGTTTGAATTCGTAGATCTTTTTCAGTGCAAATGTGCTGATTATTTTAATAATATTACTATTAGTCATTACTGAAATTATACACCACTGTTATTTTTTAATGTGTAAACAGGTTTTGAGGAACATGTGGACACAGGAACAGGAAGTGCCACCATCTCATCTATATTCCTCATATTTTAAGTAAGTAAGTTTTCATAAGTACATTAGCAAGTTTACTGCTAAATGATTCTCTGACAGCAACTGTAGATTATATTGATGGTTGCTTGTTATCTTTCCTGTGGCTTGTCTACAAGAGATGATGTAGGAGGTCTGGGGGCTTATGGGCGGAACACTGGAATAGGAAGTGCGATTGTATGGGTGAATATAGCGAGACCTCAGTTCTACAAAAAGTGTCAGTTAATATGTCTATACGTATCTACATGGTGTCAGAAGTGTGCCTGTAGTGACGATGGCACAAGGACTTCGTAAGATTGACCCCCTCTTCTTTGACAAGAATACTGCGGACAACTGGACGAAGTTTAAGCGCGAGTGGCGCATTTACAGCAATGCCGGTCTTTCAGCAGCAACAAAAAAAGTGCAAGCGTACACATTTCTGAACCTCGCTGGTCCCGATGCCCAAGATAAATATGACACTTTCACTTTCGAGGAGGGGGAAGATCCGGAGGATTCTGAGGTACTGGTAAAAAAGTTTGAGGAAATATGCCTGCCTGTAAAGAATGTAATTATGGACAGACATGTATTTAATACAAGAACCAGAAGCCACATGAAACAATCCAGTCGTACGTTGCCACGTTAAAAACACTAGCCAGAAATTGCGAATTTGGCACGCTGCACAACAAACTGATAAGAGATTGATTAGTATGTGGCACTCACAATGACAATATCCGCACTCAGCTGCTGAAAGAAAAAAATCGAACTTTAAACTCAGCTATCGAAATATGCATGCTACATGAGCAGTCTGAAAAAGGAAAAAATTAAATAAAAAAGAAGCAGGTACCAAAGAACTAAAGAAGGAAAGCGAAGTTTGTGCCGTGCAATATTCTACATGTTCAAACTGTGGTGGCCAGCATTCATCTGACTGCAGCAGCTGTCCAGCCTTCAACAAGCGCTGCAATGCGTGTGGAAAATGGAACCACTTCTCTAAATGGTGCAGATCAAGCCAAACACGCACCTACAACAGACCAGGACAAGGTCCATCTCAGCCCAGCAGAGCACCCCACACCATACGCAGGGGAGGACAGACACATAGAATAAATAAACTTGATGCACAGATTGCATTTGAACCAACGGACCTATTTTACTGTGAAAGTGTAGAGGTGCCAGCTGATAGAGGAGAGATATTTACCGTTCTGTCCACTTTCAACACAGGGAAGCAAGTTAAGGTGGAGATTGACACTGGAGCTCGGTGCAATGTACAGTCCAGAGGCGTTCCCCAGCACATCGACCCAGGCGGCTCATGTCAACCATAGCCATCTAGTCAACCTTGTGGCTTATGGTGGTCAGATCATAAGGACTTCAGGTGTTACTAATGTAAACTTCACATGCGGCACACTACAGTTCCAGGTTGTTGACAGTGATGCAAAACCTCTATTGGGCCTCAGAGACAGCATCAAACTAGGCTTTGTGCAACTTGGCCCGAATGTGCGCGCTCTCCAGCAGGGGGCCCCTGAGCTCACAGAGTATAAATATCTTTTTGACTGCAGCACTATGGGCAAACTATACAAAGCAGACCACCTTCATGACCCCAGCAGGCCAATATGCCTTCCTTCAAATGCCCTATGGAATTTCCATGGGAAGGGAAGTCTTCCAAAGGTGTATGGAGCAGCTCTTTGAAGGACAGTCATGAGCACTTGTTGTTGACGACATCCTTGTTTGGGGCAGCACAAGAGAAGAGCATGATCTGCACCTCCGGCAGGTCATGGACAGAATACGGGCCGTAAATCTTAACCTCATCCCTGACAAGTGCCGTTTCCGGGTGTCTGAGGTGTCATATGTGGGTCACCTTCAAACTGACCAGAGCATTAAGCCTGACCCTCCGAAGACAGATGCAGTTCGTTCTATGCCAACCCCAGTGGACAAGCATGGTGTTCAAAGGTTCTTGGGCGTGACAAACTATTTATCAAAATTCATCCCCCGGGATGCGAAAATCACATATAGCGAAACCCCTGCGTGAACTCCTGCTTCAGGATGCGGAATGGAGCTGGCAGGAGCACCACACGGAAGCGTTCACCAGACTTAAAGAACTCCTCACAAGTCCTTCTGTACTCCAGTACTTTGACGTGCACCAACCAGTGTTGTTATCTGCAGATACCTCTCAGCACGGCCTGGGTGCTGTCTGTCTCCAGAACAACAAACCAGTGGTGTTTGCTTCAAGAGCACTTACAGAGACTGAGTCACGCTACGCTCAGATAGAAAAGGAGCTGCTGGCCCTTGTCTATGCTGGTCAGAAATTCCACAACTATATATATGGCCATCCAGTGACCGTCGAAACGGATCATCAGCCCCTCATCACTATTCTAAAAAACCACTACACTCAGCCTCTGCACGTCTTCAGAGGATGATGCTTAAGCTGCAGCGCTATAACCTCAATGTCATCTACAAGAGAGGCAAAGAGCTATACCTAGCAGACGTGCTCTCATGTGCACACCTGCCCTCCACTGACTGGGCCGAAACTACTGAGGACTATGATGTCATGACAGTGGAAGCCCTCTCCTCAAAGAGAATTGAGGAACTGAGACAGGAGACACAGGCAGACTATCTATGCAAGTGCTTATCTGAGGTCGTTGCCGTGGGCTGGCCTGACTCATCAAAGAAGCTGCCACATGACCTTAGGCAATTCTATGCCATAAGGGATGAACTCACAGTTGATAATGGCCTACTGCTCTGTGGTCAGCGTTTCATCATTCCCCACTCACTGCAACACTATTATATCAGACAGCTGCATCAAGGGCACCCAGGCCTAGAAGCAACAAAGCGCAGGGCCAGAGAAACCATGTTTTGGCCCAGCATATACCAGGACATTGAACATGAAATCTCCAGGTGCGCTCCTTGTAATGCCCTCAGACCACACCAAACAAAGGAGCCCCTTCAATTGCATGACATACCAGACTTGCCATGGGCCCTTACAGGAGCAGAGTACGAGTCGACTCGTACTGATTTGTAATAGACCAGCTCCTAAACATTACCAGTGCGATCGTTATAACCAGGCTAAAGCGCCACTTTGTCACCCATGGAGCTCCTCAGCAGCTAATGACTGACAACGCACCATATTTCACAAGCAGGGAGTTCCAAGAATTTGCCTGCACATGGGGCTTCTGCCATGTCATCAGCAGCCCCCACTACCCTCAATCAAATTGGCTAGCTGAGAGAGCTGTACGCTCAGCCAAACACCTGCTAGAAAAATGTCCACGTGATGGAACGGATGTATATGCGGCGCTGCTCAATCTACGCAACATACCAAGGGATGGGCTGCCTTCACCAGCCCCGCACCTGCTTTCTCGGCGCACCAAGACCCTTATTCCCATGACCAAAGCCATGTATGTGCCAAAGGTAGAAACGCAGGTCCAGGCAGCTCTAACACGTACCAAACAAAGAGGAAAGACACATTATGACAGGTCAACCAGACCCTTGGCCTCATTGCAAACAGGGCAGACAGTAAGAATACAGACGGACAGGGGATATGACAGATTGGGAACGGTAAAAGGAAGAGCACCACAGCCAAACAGCGACCAGGTCCAGGCCGGAGTTGCCACATATGTGAGAAACAGGCGCCACCTCCTACATACACATGAACAGTACACCCCGCCTCCAACAACAGAGGTCCCACTTAACACCAACAGTGAACCTCTGCCAGAACCCCAGCCTAATGTCGACCAGCCGTAGACAGAACAGGTGCAGGAATCACCTGTGGTTGTCACCCGTTCAGGGAGAATATCAAAGCACAACTCCCTATACAAGGACTACACTACATAAGTTCAGACTGTTCATACCACTCCTATTGCAGCACTCCTGTTCCTTGTGGCTGTTTAAAATAAATAAATAAATAAATAAAGTCGGACCAATGTTGCATCCTGGTTTTGGTATGCGTGTCAGGTTGTACACTGTTTGCTAGTTTCACTGTTCATGTGCACTTTTATAACAGGTAAAGCTAAAGGGCTAACTATATA